TATACAATTTACATGGCTCTCCTTTGGCGGATGCAGTTTCATTCTCCTAGTCCGAAATTCTCGGGAAATTCGATAAAATTATCGTTACTTATTCAACAAAGTTATTGACCAGCATCGCACCTCTGACTCCTACATCGTTTGTGTCATCGTGACGTCGAATCATGAAGAATTCTGTAAGATTAATATCTGTTGGACAAAATCCTGTGTATTATTCGTTTCATTGTTGAAATTGAAAGAAATTGCATTTCGGATTATACGAGACGACGACCCAGACGTTACGGTCCTGAAGTCAAGGGCTCGTTGATGTACGAGAGGAGGAGAAGACTACTAACTCGAGTGTCGAGGCTTGACTTACCTATCCAGTTAATGTTGACGCATGGTTTATACCTTCCTACTTACCATATGTTACTTTCCGTGATCGTATTCGTTTCATTAAGGTGAAGCCATACGCTTCTTTGGGCATTAAAAATACCGCTTTATTTAAAAAAATGAAATTATAACCGACTTTATGCCAATGCATGGGTATCAATATTGAACTATTGTAAACGATAAAAATTTTTCTATTTTTGTGTAAATTTTGTTATGACGTCTAAAAAAGAAAAAAATCCCCTCTTCGAATAACAAAAACAATTTTGTACAAACTTTATTTCGTTTTCACTTTTACATTTTTTGCGAAAATCTTGTATAATAAAAGACGGTAGTGAAAAGGTGAAAAATGATTCATTAACAGAACGCGGTTACATAAAAAACTCTCACCGTATAATATAGGTATATAATAAATGTGTCTTACAATGCAGAATGCCAGACATCTCAGAAATATTTGCCAGGGATTAAATTTTAAAGGATAAATTATTTCACAATAAAATATTTTATGATTAAATGATTATTTACGATATTCTACGATATATATTTTAGTAGATATTAGAATTACCCTGGTAAAAGAAGTTTACAGAGAACAATAGAAAAAAATCCTATCGTTCTGAATATGAAATTTGGTTCGCGAATTCACTAATTTGAATTAGATCTTAGAGAGAGAGAGAGAGAGAGAGAGAGAGAGAGAGAGAGAGAAATATTGTACAAATTTTATAGAACTCATTAAAATGGGATAGAATTTTATATCGCGGATTCATGTATCGTGATGCTCGCGAGGATATAGAATCGTCGACACGAAAGAAAACAATATAAAAATTTATGGGAAAAAAACGATACAAATTGATAGAAATTCTCTATCGTCCTCTATCAACTTTTTTTTTACCAGAGTTTAAAGGCGTAAAATAATTTGTAGAGACACTGGAAAGCCTGCGTAGTATCATCAATTTTCCCGTTATCGAATCTGACGTGTCGGATCGGTCTGATAAACCAAGTGTTGCTGAAAACACGTCAGTGCTCGACGAGTTCCGTTTAAACGTTTTCTTTCGATAAGAGATAGATAGGAATCGGTCGCGGAAATCCGCCGCCGAGCTGAGAATTAATAGAGCCATCACGATTGGATTCGTCATTGTCGGTGAGACTCGTATGAACTAACCATGCTGTATATGAAAGCGAAACATAATGCGTGCTCGCTTTTACGATGTAGAAAATAAATTCGATATCCAATGTCGTATGTGTATGTGCACCGTCATTTCAATCACCACTGCTTCCTCTCACGCGCGCAGAGTATACTTTTTTGTTCCTCCTTATACCAGGATACAATGCAAGGAGATAATAAAAATCTCGACGACGCAGAATTGCCATTCAAATTGGCATTCCTCTCAGTCAGTTTAGTATTTAAATTGTAATTTATTATATAAGATAAATATTATTATTTGTGAATAAAAATAAGATATGCTTTTCTTATGCTGAAATTTATCAAATCTGAATTCCTTTCTATTAGGCTGAAAGTTTCGATAATTCTGAAAAAAATCTGCGTAGAAAAAAATCTCTTATCTTTTGAACATGACAAGTGAAATTATTTACAAATACTCACGAAGCATTTTGTTCTTTGCGATTTGGTCGTTCGCTGAGAGAATCCAATCGCGATATTTTCCGGGGATGGTCAACAATATGAGATACAATTATATACCGGAACGATTATTTCATTCGGCGTTTAGTGAAAGGTTAACGCTCCCCTGAGCATTATACTGAAATTAAAGCGCAATTTCGTGTATGTGTACAATAAGTTTTGTTTGTTATGTAGACTGTATATAAAGTGTATATAGGCTACACGCGATTGAGATTTATGGTTATTGTTTTACAATATGCGAAAAGCAGCTAAGGTATTTGTTCCACTTTTACGTAATATATACTATATGGTGCTCTCAGTCTGATGGTTACTATCGGCCAGACAGAGAGAAAGAATCTTTCTCGACGTTACTTCCGACTACTGATATACAATGCCGTTCACGCTTTATGCTCTAAAAGTTTCGACATCCGCGTAGAGTAGAGGATGATAAATCTGCGCACGATCGGGAACGTGACGAATCCGCGATTCCGGAAGAAAGGCATAAGAAAGTGTACCTATAGGTATACCATCGCGTTTGTAGACCATCACTTTGGGTTGTTTCTCGAAAAGCTCTGAGAAAATACATAAAGAATTAAATAATAAATAAAATCACAAAGCGCGAACGTATTTTCTTTTTTCAAATTGTCGATAATATTTGTCAAAAGGATTATCTCTCTACAAAAATGAAACTTACTCCATAAAGACAGTTGCTCCTTCAAATCTTTTCACTGAAATTCGCGAATAACGTTATAAGTATAGTAATGTCCTATACTTAATAATATTTGATTTTACCGATTTGTATTTTCGCCTATTCGCTGTAATCACGCGTAGCACAGGCAGCGTGATTATGTGTAACTCGGACAGCGTGCTTTATAGTTATTGACCGGTAATTGTCGTGTATGTACAAGGCCGGCCGGCCGCGGTCTCTGACCCACATACAGCCGCGATATTGACAAAATCGCCAAATGCTTCTCAATATTCATTGAGAGAAATGGATTTTTATACGTATGTGTGTGATTCCAAGTGATTAACAGAGGAAGTTTATTAGATATACCTATTATAATAATTGCATGAGGGGGTAAAAAGAAAATGTTTTTAGAAATAGTATATGTTTTCTTCCACACATGAGACGTGCTTTTTCATTTGACAATCCGATCGATCGATCCGCATGATTCGCAATTACAATAAAAATATTGAGAAAATGTTTCTTATCCTTTTCGCGCGTTATCTATTCGTATGCGTTGTCCAACGGCCTCGAAACGCGCGAATCGCAACGAACACGTTGTCGCGTGTTATCTATACTTTGCTTGGTCGTGTATACCTACAGCAGTAGCAGGATAGTTGAGGAAGTGGCGCGGTATCTCGCCACATCCTACTTCGTCCTGTTCCCGTTTTGCCAACGGAGTGAGTAGACACCCTGCCTCTCAGTCCAGTGAAAGCGACAGCCATGCAGCACGCAAGCGAGTCTTCCGCGCCGCAGATCGCGAATTAGGATTGAATGTCGCAGAGACATTTAATTACATCGCGCGTAAACTGTGCGTTTATTCCGTTTCCAATCCGCGCACGCGGTGGTTGCCTGCATTATCTTGTCATTATTTTACGCGGCTTCTGATTCTGACGATTTCGATGCTATATAAAAATGATCACTTAACGAAAAGAATCTCTTTGCGATCATGTGGGGGGACTCCCGCGGCGAAAATTCCTTCTCCAAGACTGGCAGGACGAGATGGTCCTACGAGACTTACTCATCCGAGAATCAGACACGGAATCAAGACGCGTTCACCAGGATGCGCCCTTCTGTAATGGTGCAAGAAGATCCCGCGTCGCAGCAGCGTTCGAGTTATCGCCTGCAGCAACGGTCTTCTTGGCAACAGGATAATCGTTCGTGCGTGGTACCTACACATACATACACAATGCGCGCGTCAATATTCTCCTTCGTTTCAATTTTTCCTTCTTCCTCTCACGCAATATCCACAAAGTTGTTTCTCGTTTGTTTCTTCACTAACGATTCCAAAGTTTTCATCAGTTTTCATATCTGCGGGACAATGTTGGGTGCTTTCCGTGTGTTGGTGACACAAGTCGACACAAATGTTTCCTTCTTCCTCATTTAATGTACAAGACAAATACAAGGGAGTAATGTCGCAATGTAAACGGGAAAGCACTTTAAATATTCCTTTTATACGCTTGTACAATAAATTGTCCGATTTGATGTATTTCGCCGCAGTTGTGTGTTGTTCGGTGGAATGATTATGCAAGAGGCTATCAGAAATGTAATGAAATCGTTAATGATTAAGAAATCGGATAATCTATATTTCGATTTGTCATTGTCCACTTTGCTACTCGGATTATGTGACTTTTTCGTACAAAAGAAACAAAATGATAGTGGCGTGAGATATGAACCATCCACGACTCAGTTCGGCGCAATATTTACTCCGGTACATGATTTATTTCCTTAGCGCTCTTTAGATAACAACTACTTTAATTTATGCAAATATATCTATAAATATACCACTCTGTTATATAAATAATTAAATTAATTGAAAAAATATCATTGACAACTTGGCACTTTTTAACTATAGATAAATTTAACTATTCTCGTTCTCTCTCTCTCTCTCTCTCTCTCTCTCTCTCTCTCTCCCTCTCCTTGAGGTAACGTAACGAAGAAGACAAAAGAACGTGAGAGAATAATTGTGAATAATTGCAGAAAGAAGCAAAAAAATTAATTGATTAAAAGGTAAAAATAGTTTGGTGGCTTCACAGAACTCCAAGAATAAATCAAATATAAATAAATTGCTCGTATGAGCCTTTGCAGTTAGTGCATAAATAATAGATTTATGAATCGATGAGATATAATTTGCAAACAATTCGGATGTATTATACTTATCAGCCAATAATCTTATCGTTCTATTGCCTTATAAATACCTATATTATTTATGCATTAACAATGCAGAGTCTCTTTTATACTTAAAGTCAATTTACTTATATTAGCAAAAATCAATTAATGTCTTGTTGTTTACAGTGAAGTGAGCATATCATCCGCCCGCGCGTCGGTGATGGTGTACGACGACGTGAACAAGAAATGGATACCGAGTGGCAGTTCGTCTGGTCTGTCCAAGGTTCAGCTCTATCACCACCAGGTGAACAATACGTTTCGCGTAGTTGGCAGGAAGCTGCAGGACCACGAAATTGTCATCAACTGTGCGATTCTAAAGGGACTTAAGTACAATCAGGCCACGGTCACGTTTCACCAGTGGCGAGATAACAAGCAAGTTTACGGGCTCAATTTTTCCAGTAAAGATGACGCCGATGCCTTTGCTCGAGCGATGCTGCAGGCACTCGATGTAATTTATTATATATATCTTTTACCTTATAGTTTTATTAAAACTAACTCTGACTTTTACGACATTCCGGATTTTATTATCTATTCTATAGTTGTATAGTTTTAGCATCTATCCTGAAGTTATTACGCTGATTTAAGATCCGAAGCGACCAAACCTTTCGACAAACATTCAACTTGGATGTTATTAACTAGAAATAAAAAAAAAAAGAGACTTAGGAATAAAAAACGTTTGCTATCGTAGAACATCGATTTCAGTTACAGCAATTACAATTACCGACTTTGTTAGGCGTTGTCATAATTGGATATATTATCGTTAATTCACTTTTAATTACACATTATGTCTTGTTGCAATGTTGCGTAGGTGCTGAGTAATGGTAGCAACATATCAAGGAGTCTCGCTCCAACAACCAACACGACTACTCAACAGCAAACCGCTTATCAACAGCAGCAGCAACAACAACAGCAACAACAACCACAACAACAGCAACAACAACAACAACAACAACAGAGCCAGGCAACTGTTCAATATGAGGAAGACATGGGATACAGGTATGTCTCTTTTATATATTTTCTTTTTATTTCTTTTACATTTTCAAACAATTTATAATGTAATTATTATCTCATTATTGTAATTATTTTCTGTCACAAAATATACCACAGTGCACACAAAGTTTAGTCAATCCACGTCACATTTTCGAACGAAATGCAGGCGATCTCATTTCTTTTATCTGTAATAAAATATTTTCTTTACAATAAATACAACAAATCAGTATGAAGACATCATCACATATGAGGCAGTTTTGGTGTATACAATGTGGTCGTTATATAGCTAGGACGATATATATAATATGTATGTCGAATACATATATGTAGGAAAAACTTATAGGGTGACAATTTACTTTATGGACATACTTAGACCCATTTCAATTTCCCTACCGTTCACCTAAAACGAGTCACACATCTGTCCTGACTGGTTGCAGTCAAGGTCGTAACGCTCGGATTTCCTTGTCCCTGAGCCATCTGCCTACAGGAGGTCAGACGGCCCTACCCGTGGGCTCCGCCACCACAACCCCCGAACACCACGTGACCGTTAGTGGTGCTGTTGGCACTGTTATTCAAATGGGTGCGCGTGGCTCATCGGGCGATGGATACACGAGGTGATCTTCCTGTCCTTTTAACCCGTAATAATCTGAATTTCTTAATTAATTACCATTAGAATATTTTTTACGCAATATCATACGTTATTGAATAACGCGGAAAAGGGAAAATTTTTTCTATTAAAATATGCCGAGAAATTATTGATTTGATATTGTTGTACCATATAAGATTACATATAGGTTAATATGGGTTAAAGGCTATCTAGGATCTCCTTATTCTTTGTAGTAAAGATTTAGGGCATTAACCACGTTAGAATAATCGTTCTACTTCTTTCCTCCTTGCATCTTTCACCTTCCCCTGTACTGTAGTTCTCGAAGGATGTTGCAATTTAGCGGTTTCAAATGTTTCAGTCAATTGACTTCTATTTTTTTTTTCTTCTCTCTTCCGTGTAGTGAATACTTACCGTCTACGAAACTTCAGTTACTATGAAAATGAGAATCGGAAAGATATTGTACGATGGAAAGATATTTACAAGATGTCGAAAATAAAATTGCAGAAACCAAGCGGGAGAATTCGCATTCTCCCTGCATTCTGCGCCTTTCAAAATAACTCGAATAGGTACATTGCACGACGAAGTTTTATATTTTTTCTGTAATTTTTTGTTGACACTTTTTACATAATTCAAGATACCTATATTCGATAAATTTAATTTATCAAAACGCGGTTATAAAGTAGGTTAATATATTATATAATTTGTCAGGAATAATATAACATGTTATACATGTATGTGTATATCTACATTAGCTTGCTCTATATGGAAAGTATCTTGCATTGTATGATGAAAATATAAAGAAGATTAACATCTTTAGTTGTTTATGTGGTTTGTATAAATATCAATGTTTAAACGTCTTAACAATACACTGTGATGTTGGGTAAGAGCATTTTCCTATTGTTGAAATATATTTATAGCGAAATTTTGAAAATAATCTTTGTAGCACAATATTGTTTAGCATGTTAGTATGCGACACATTTAAATTTATTTGTTGCGTTTATATATATATATATATATACATATATATATTTTTTTTCTCTTTATGCCAGTTTTGAGAAATATGAAATCAGTCAAGATGAATTTTTAGTAACGATCTATGTATAGAAGAAATTATACATATATCTATTATATTAGTTGACTAGCTCTACTCTACGCTTTATATTAACAATGCATTGTGAAAAATCATTTTGTAACTAATTCTAAATTTAATCTGCGCAGAACTATGACTAGGGAAGACGTGGCAATAATTCAGGAACGTAGAATGTCTCAGCAAAGTCAAGGTATTATATTTATATTTTTAGCATAATAAATATTATACATTATGCATAATAAGAATATTATCTCTAAATTTAATTTTATAACAAGAGCGCACATGTACATATGACAAAAATTGCATTTAAATTACAAGAGTACAATTCTAAAGAAATTGTCCAAATTGTAGTATACATATAATACATATATTATAGCCACTTGTGTGCGTGTGTATCTATACTTATATATGTATATGATTAAAAAATGATATTTTTTTACAGCAACTGGAAGTCCTAATCCTATATCACCGAGCTGCCCGCCTGCTACACAGCAACAACAACAGCAACAACAACAACAACAACAATCCGGTCATCATCGAACTTCATCGGCACCGCCGGCACCACAACCGCCTCCACAACAACTACCAACCCTGCAAAGTGGTGGCGGTACGATTCCAGCAGCTCCACAAATGTCGGCTGGACCGGGAGTCGGTCCCCCAGTACCACCGCCCCAACCTCCGATTGCACCTCCTGCCCCGCCTTGTCCACCGACAATGATGAATTTTAGTTCGTCCGCGACACCGGCGCCACCGATGATGATGAATCAGTATGCACAATCGCCATCATCCCAATCAAATCAACAGTCTCAATGTCAGTCTATTTACGTTACTAATCAGGCAAATCAATATGGTGTTGCGCCTGTAAGCAATCAGTACGCGAGTGGAACAGTGGTTCCTAGTAGTAACAGCGGCACTGGAAGCGGTGCGGTCTCTGTCGTGGGCCAGAGTCCGAACCAATTTCCACCATCTGGCAGTCAAAATAACTTTTACGGTACTAATAGTCAGGCGAGTAATTACACTACTGGTGGACAGGTTAATACAGGCCAATATAATCAATCAGTTGGCAATCAGGCTGCGCAATACGGTAGCAGCGGTAATCAGTATGGAAGTAATAGCTCGATAAATCAGTACGCCGTCGGTCCGCCACCTGGTCCGGTGAATCAGTACGCGGTCGCGCAGCCTGGTCAATCCCAGTACGTATCTCAGGCACAATCACAATATGGCGGTACCGGGCAGGTACAAGTAGCTGCCACAGCGGGTACGACGAACCCGTATGGGACACCGTCAAATTCGGTGAATCAGTACACTAACAGTGGACATCACACAGTCAACGCTTATGCTCCTGTTACTAATAGTGGTCCTCCACCGCCTCCGATGGTATCACTGGCTGGTCCCGCTGCACCGCCTCCACCGCCACCGCCACCTGTACCTAATGCTAACAGTTCCACCGCTGCTGCTGGTTCGTCTATTAGTTCCTCGAATGATCCTCCACCTGACACCAACTCATTAGCAGCTGCTCTTCAAGCACGTCTTAAAAAGAAACAGGTAATTTTCTTTTTTTAATTGTAATCTTTATTTCGATAGAATTGCCATTTGTTTGCAGAAACGATACATATGTATACATGATATATTAAATTAACATGTTTGTACGTATGAAATATACAAGTAGGATAAACTTTTTTATCAATAGCAACAGTCACAACCAGTGGAGAACAGCGGCTCGAGTACTAGTAGTAGTAGCAGTGGAGGAGGCGGCAATTATGGCACCTTAGGGAGAGGTGGAGGCGGCGGAATGGCCTCCATGATGGATGAGATGGCTAAGACTCTAGCACGGCGAAGGGCTGCCGCCGAAAAGAAACAACCCGAGCAACCACCGGTAAACATTTGTTGTAACAATAACTTGGACATTCAGAAATTGACAAATAACATTGACGTCGAAAAATCGGCGAGAAATAGATTAATTTATAACGCGCTTTAGAATGGCAACTTCTCAATCGATAAAAACTTTAATCATACAAATGTTGAAATAATTTCGATAAGAAAATTTTTTTTTGCAAAAGGATTACATATAATATAATATAATGCAATTATAAATATAATTATAAATTATAATCACAAGAGAAAAAATAAAAGAATGAGAGAGAGAGAGAGAGAGAGAGAGAGAGAGAGAGAGAGAGAGAGAGAGAGAGAGAGAAGAAAAAGCGCTAAACGATTCTTTTTACAGGAACCAGAAAGTTCACCGGACAAGAAATCTTGGGATAAAAACAATGCGTCTAATAATAAGTTTCCTAATGGCGCCGAGTCACCGAAATCGGTTCGCAAGAGGTTCGGTTCAGCTTCTGAGGATACTCTTCTTAAAGTAAACGGTGTTAACGACGGAACTTCGCTCACAGCGCAAGAAATGGAGGCCTTTAAGGTGGAGATAATTAAAGAAGTGCGGAAAGAATTTCAGAAAATGAAACAAGAAATAATCGATGGTACGGAATATTATTACAGCTATGCAAAATCTTTCGCGATCTATAAGATATTATATAAATGTAAAAGTTTTTGCTTTATATGAAACATTTTATATTTTCAGCCGTAAGAACAGAACTGAATAAGAGATAAAGAAGATATAATAAAGAAGAGATAGAAGATACAAAACCGAGCTCTCAAAACCGAAAAGAAACAGAAAAAATTTGAAGCAAAACAAAAAATTTCAAGAGAGAGTTATGTGACTAGATTGCTCGATATCAAAGCGATATCATTGAGAACTACGTACAGGTTTTTACAATATATTTACGAGAATGTAATGCGTTTATACATTCATGTATATCGAACATTTATATATAAGTAAATTAATCGTAGCGTCTTAAGTGGCCGTAATATTTTTGTTATTTGCTATATAACAATCGTAACGAAAAATATTGAATTAATTGAGTTTCATTTAAAATAAAATAATTATTAATTCAATTATACGGGAAAATTGATTTTCTTCACGCATATAAAGAATTAGAAGAAACTCTTACAGATTCTCTGAGCGAGAAAAATATTTCAATGAGAGTATATAATATAATAAATACACGCACTCTGAAATATTATATCGCTTTGTAATTTAAAGGGATATCGATAAAGACCAACAAATGGTGTATTATTTATATTATAAATGATACCAATTTTTACACATAAATATCTATTATAATGTTTTCATTTTTCTCTTCCTCCTTTTCCCTTTCTCCCTACCTCCTTTCATCGTACCTTCTTTCCCCGTTTTTTTCTCTAGACAAATTTATAATTAAAAAATGAGAAATTTTATAATTAAAGTTGTTATTAATATCACATGTAATACTCTTACTACGAATTTTAACGTGAAAATTATTTACTTCTTAAAAAGAAACTCAATTATTTCAACGTTCACATGTTACGCATCGTATATTTTCTACTGCATATGTTTAGGCAGAGTTTTGCTAGATATGTTAATTAAAACTTTCTTTTACACATAGAGACCGATCTCATCATAAAACATTCTATGTAGAATTCTTTTGTCAATATCGTGGCATGTGTTTTTTCGCATTTTTGTTTTTGTTTTTTATTTTAACGACACCTTGTCTTATGTAACTATCTTAATTTATGCAAAGCACGTTGCTTTATCGATTTCTATCATGATGCGAATCAATTTTTTAAAATATAACGGACGAATACATTCCAAGAAACACATCTCGTATCCTAAATACGCTAATCTCTTAGACATGTTAAACGTTGTAAATAGTAATAACGACGATAGACGGATGCCACGATTGTTGATTATAAAATTCTCGAAAACATTGCGCTTAAACAATATATAATTACGAAATCTTCGTATTAATCCATTTTTGGATATCGAATATTTAAATTACGATTCACATTTTTTGTATGTTTGAAACCTACAGTACATGATGCTTTTTTCCTTCTGAGTTGGATTTCCGTACTTACTATCATGTTGGCAGCAGCGTTGACAAAGCTGCTGGCCATGTGGCTAGCTTGGATTCAAACGGTACGAGTTTTCGTGCTGACTGAGCAGCTGGAATTTTTTTTGACAAAAGGCGCTTGATGGAAGTATACGAATAAAGAATACATTGTTGCTACTGTAATACATTGTCGTAAAAGCACAATTGTATTGTTTTTAATTATTACGGAGAGAATACTTAGATCACATGATCTAAAGTAAATGTTCTGTTGGCTTTCACAATGAACTAGAACAAAATCATGCAAGAGAGAAATATTACTTGACTTATCATGAAAATCCAGAAGACTAGTCACACGTGTGGCCAACAGGTTATACACATATTTCACACAGCACAGCAGTCAGCAAGATCGCCACACGTAGTATGCAATCAATCCCGTAAGAAAAAAAGCATCGTATGCACACACTTAATACGACACGTTGTTCTCCAAGAAAACTACTGTCGGATATTGAAGATACTGTGACACATTATATACTTTTCGGTTGGTTGATACAAATTTTTTTAACCTGAAATTTTTATAATTAGGTATATAGGTTCATGGTTTTTCCTACAATTAGTAACAGCTTTTATCTAATTTACTTTTAACAAGCTTGTGATTTTATAATTATTTCTTTAAACATTTAGACAATTGTTCGCGTGCACGAATAATTTCAATATCCGTACGATAAATAATTTACTTTTTGTAATATCTTTTTTGAAACTATATTTTATCTTACATTCCTAATTATTATTGTGACCAAAATTTTATGCAAAATATTCTCAAACTCACCATTCAATTCAACAATTAGAGTACGATATACAATAATTATACATGATTCATTCATTATTATCGCGAATTGTTATTATATACTGATACTGATAATGTATTATTTCTATTTCATCAAAATAATCACATAAGATCTATTACTGGCTATTGGTGAACATCTGTGGAAAATCATTGTCGTTGCCGATAAAATAGCAATCTAATCGGAATATTAACAGATTTTTTAAATGTAACTTTTGAGATATATATATATATATGTATAATATATTAATATTATATGTATATATATATATTTATAAATAATATTATATATATATATATAATACTATTTAATAAAAAATATTTCATTTTTATATAGATTCAATATTCATTATTAGATAGGAAGAAAGAATAATTTTTTGTGATACAATTTGACATTTATCTGACACCAATCGGACAATTTTCTACAAGTGTTTGATTAATGTCCAGTAAAATATTGACCACGAATAATGTGGTAGAATAGCATGTATATCTATCCATGCCTTTATCTTGTAAAACTCATTTTGTACGCAAATTTTCCGTTAGTAGTCATATACTAATTCGTAACTTTAAAGGCTGAATTTTACACGGTTTTTTATTATGCAATGTTTTTCTGTGCTTTATTACGTACAGTTTTATTACATCGGCACGCTAGTTTACGATAAGCGTAATCATAAGAAGTCTTGATAATCATTCCGAAAGAATTAGATGAAAAGCAATTTCTAGTCGAATTATCGGAGTGAGAAATATGATTTCATAAAGAAAGGTATAAAATTTTGACAGCAAGAGCGTCGATAAAACTTATTTTTAAATAATTTAAATATCACATCATTCATCACTTATGTTTTATCAATTATCTGTTTCTTTATTTTTTATTTAAATATTGATTATAATTTTCGATACGCGTATGATGTGCATTTTTAACACTTATTTTCTTCCTGATGTACATCTCTGTAAAGAAGAATATAATGTTAAATATGTTAATATAAATAATTTACGTTCCACGGTATATCGCTGACACATTGGCTGTGTTCGCAGCAGAAAAAGCAGCTTATTTGCACCTGTTGTAAAATTTTTTAATATGATTGGTTTTTCCTCTAGTTCCTCACTGGATCTAAATGTATGAACCAATCATATTCAAGAATTTTACAACAGTTACAAAGCTGTTTTTCCTCTACTGAACCCTGCCATTTTTAAGATACATCAAATGTTTTGATCGATATTCAAGAGACTCGTATGCAATTTACAAATACATGAGTGCGCATAATTATCTTTTTATATAGAACATTCTTCTTTTCTTTCATCTGCATTATTTTTTGAGGCATTCCTTTTTGCCTCTTTACTACATATTTTATACTCCATCACCTTTGTACATAAAAATTCATCTAGTGTGGATCTTCCATAGTACGTATTTATTTTATTCATTTTTTCCTCTTCTTTTCTTTTTTTTAATATAACTGTATGTGTGTGCGCGTGTGTGTGTGTGTGTGTGTACGCGCGTGCGCGTATGTGAGAAAGACAAAATGTAAAAATATTGATAAAGAGCAAGGTCTTTTTCGAATGTTCCTCTAGCCCCAACTTCAGAGCTCGTTCTCTCATTATCGTCACTTATGTGTCCTGCGTTTTTCCTTTCATCTCTGTCCTTTTACTTTCCTTTTTGCTTTTCTTTCTCCCGGTACAAGATGTTTTACATAATCTGTCCTTAATCATAATGATAGAATTTGTCAAATTTTGTGAGACGATTTTTCCTCTATTTTAAAGAAAAAAGAAACCATCGTTTGTCACTGTTTAATATACTCAATACATTAATTATTATGACAATTCAAATATCTTGAATTAATTTTATTGGGATAAATTAAATTTAAAATTAAAGGGAAATATGAAAAAGAGAGAGAGGGAGAAAGAGAAAAAATATACTATGTATTATAAGTATTATATTATATTTATTGTGTTTCTTTTTACAACACGTAATTTGAGAAAACTTTTTTTATTTCTAATCGTTTGTAATTTGTGTGAGAAGTATGTAGACATATCGATGGTTTTAGTTGAGGAAAAATCTGCTCCAAATTGTTCGTAGTATCTGTTGTTAAAACTAAGCACAGTCGTCGTAAAACATCGTGTATATTTACGATACATGCATAATCGCGCGTTGATAAATACAATATTTGCTTTTTTTATCCTTTACGATTTATGTGACTGTCTGCTGTTCTCGTTATTGCAACGCATTTTTATCGCGTCATTAGAGTCTACACGATTACGAATTATCAAAGTTGCGATATGCATATTAGCCACGTGTATTTTTTTTGCACAGTATAGCTACAGTATGTTAAGTATATACGTATAGTGGAATTATAATTTTCATATCATAGTTTAATGCGAATATTAAGAGTGTTTTTGTGTTAAGGTTGAAAAAGTTATTTAATGAGAGCGGGCCGAGAAGGCTTAGATAATAACGAGGAGGTGATAAAAAGGATTGTCGCGACCAAGGCCATTAATACGCACTATGTATCGCCAAGTTAAAATGTCAACGATCGAATGCACAAACGACTTTAAATTCGACACGTTTGAGACGAGTGAAACCAGCGACGAAGGTCTTTAATGATTTAAAATTTTCGCATATACGTTCATCTATTTCTTCCGAATTTTTAATAAACAATTCTAATGTATTATAATATATATTTTTCGACGCAGCAGTGTTCTGGATTCCGCGCTTTTCTTATCACTTTTTTTCTACTGCTAAGAGTTATCAATTTTTTAAGCGACAAATTATAAAAAATTAATGGCTGAACACGATCTCAAACGCTTTTGAACGTGAAAGGACAATTAATTGGAATAATATAAGCAGTTACCTAATATACAATTATAATTAATGCGTAACAATGTGATTTAACGAAACTTTGCACGTATTTTCCGCATAATATGTTATGCAAAAATTGTCGTCGGCTTTACTCGTGTGAGTGAGAATGTTAATGTTTAAGATATGTTTAAAAACGTGCGTGCGGAATGACTGCGAATTAACACGTGTATAAACATTAATTAATAAGCCGCGAAGAGAATTCCACCTTCCCATATGGTATTCTTCACTTTTAAAC